ATGACTTCTTGTGGCTTTTGGGTTTTAGGAACAGCGTTAGAAGAAAGTTTCAAGGAATACGGAAGAAACCGAGAAGCAATGCGACTTTGCCGAGAAGGTGAGTGCTGTTCATTCCTGAGAAAAGTGTACAAAGAAGTTTCCCTGCTCGTAACTAGTTACGAGAGGACTTGCATGGGAAAGGAAACTTAGGAAATTTATCTTCAATCCTATCACTTTGGATTTGGGACTTGCGGCCTGCCAGTGAATGGTGTTGTTAGCATTATTATTAAATTAATATATAATCTCAAAACTACAAGGTAAGGTAGGGCATAGGTTACTTATTGTATTGCCTTTACCGTATTCTGTGTTGGACTTTTTTTTTTTTTTTTTTTTTTTTTTTTTTGCTATAAATAGTCCTAAGGAAGCTATGTGACCAGCACTGATAAGATCTCTGAAGCTAAAATATTTTGATTCTTAATATAATCCATGTCAGTATTTGAACACTGATCACTTTCTCTGTCATGTCGACATGTTGTGTTTATTTCTTAGTGTACTGCTAAATGAGAGTGACCTTTCACCTGTGATTAGCGAAAGCCCATTAACGGCCAAGTTCGTTTCAGGAGTAACAGTGCTACTTGAAGTTGTAAGCAGATGATGAATGAAAGCTATAGATTACCGGTAACTTTGTAACAGGGAGTGGAGAAAACAGCGATGAGTCTGATGTGCAATGTTCAATTTTCTTTTTTTTGTTTTTTCCAGTTTGACGATTGTTTTGTTCTAAAACTTTCTTAATATTGTTGGTGCTAGCTCAGTTCTGCTGGACTTTCTGTTACAGAGAAGCATGCCATAGGCTAGGCATCGTCATTTTAAACACTCAATCAGTTAGACCCGAGTCGTTTATTTGACACTGTTAGAAACAGAAGGCAGAGTTTTGTAAACTTGGTTTACAGTCGCAGAAGGCAGGACTCACCAGGGCCTTGGGAGATGTTCTGATTCAGCACCTACCTGTGAGCTACAAACAGCGAATGAAAACTAAAGCAAGGTGGCACGGGCTCGTGAGATTGGGAGGCAGTGACCTATACCGAGGCTGAACCAAAATGTCTACTTGTTGTAGAAATGCTAGTGTTGCTAAAATTTGGAAAAAATCAATTTTTATGAGCAGAGTCGGTGGTCGCTGACCTGTAAGAGAGATGCAACGCTATGCTGTGGCATTCAGAAACACTTGTGCCATTTTGCCATCTTCTAAGTCTCATTGTATAAGTTCTTAGGCATTTGAAAAATCACTTTATTACTTCATTGCCTAGTTCCAGTCTAGTAGTTGTGTTGGATAATTATTTTTCTGAACAGGCAAATCATTCAAGTGCTAAAACAGCATTAATAACAATAAGCATACGCATTATCCTAGTAAAGATTTTACTAATAAGGATTTCCAAACATTCTTTCTTATTTCTACCTCTTAAAATGCAAGCATCTAAGGTTTCCAGATTTTAAAGATTAGCTGGCAGGATGAAGAATAATCTGTTTTTTTGGTTTTTTTGTTTTTTTTTTTTTCCCCCTCTGGAGAGAGATCATGAAACAGTTTTTGCATAGGCTGACCACTGAGACACAGCTGCTCCCCACTGACTCCAGCCATGTGAATGATTTGTAGGGTTATGAGTTGAAGGAAGTTCATAAAACACTTTGAGAATTAAAAGTGAAACTTAGTAGCTCTGTCAGGCTTCCAGAGGTCTATTTATTTTGTTTGCTTTATGACATATGAATGAGGCACTGACTTGACGTATACCTGTAGGTAGTCTGTAGGGAGCTCGGCCTACTGCAAAATAAAGCCAAAGAAAAAGTAGTAGTAATTAAGTTTGCACTTAAAGAACTAGGGGAGCAGCAAAACATGCCAGCGTACGGATGTGTTGTGTTATCGAATAAAACTCTGAGAATGCTGTAACTGATTCCTTTTCCCAGGAAGAATTTTGCATTCAAAATTGAGGAGCAAACATTTATTAAATAATTGGACTGTCTAAACCATGGACCTTAACAGAGAAGGGTGAACCAAAGGTATAAATTTTGTCAAATCAGATCCAATGTCAAGATTTTGTTATGGTAGCACACGGTATTTTAAGTACGGCTAATGAGAGAACTCGTGTAAGAAAGTTAGTTCTCTATAGATTGGGAGGTGACTCGGAGGCCCAACTTCACAAAAGGATTTCAAGGTTATTTAGGCTAATTTAACCTTGCATTGCAACTCTTCCAGTTTGCATAAAAGAATTAAATATTCATGGCCTGGAGAGGGAGCGAAGGAGGGAACATGACTTGCAGCCCACTTATTAGAATTGGGTTCAAACCCGAGAACTATTTTCTTTCTTTAACAGTTGTCAACTTTCAGGTTGGGCTCCCTGGTACCCACAGGGTTATCGCTGTCGTTACTTCCTTTCCCACATGCTGTTTCTATGCAACTTCTGGTGGGAATAGCTTCATCATCAGCCTGCCTGTTTACGGGAGGTGGATTTCAGGCTTGTACACTTGAAGAGTGAGCGTTCCCCTTGTCGTAACACTGTGTTAAAAAGGGCCTTATCATTACCAGCTTCTCCTTTTGTTAAAGAATGATGCCTACTATTCTTTTAAAGGAATGAAGGACATAAAGGTATAATTCCAGGACAGCATTTGCAAGCTGTGGAGAGAGGCAGGATTTCAGACACACCTTTGTCACTGGCATTTCCTATTTGCTGATCAGGCAGCTCCTCTCTCAGCATGCTGGTGGTTGTGAAGCCCGATGAGTCCTTAATACCTGTCAGTGATGCTAGTTGCATGGAGGGATCAGGAAACTAAAATTAGTTCATAGTCTCAAACTCTTTCTTTTCCTCCCCCTCAGCCCCCCGGTATCTAACCCTCCTTGGTATAACTAAGCTCTCATTGAAATAAGAACTAGAAATTGAATTTGGGCTTCCCAAACTCCAAATGTTTGTGTCTCGTACTTCCCTGTTTCTTTTTCACTGCTCTTAAGTGCTTTCTATTCTGCTAATCCATAATATGCAATCATTCCT